CATATATATCTGTATATATATAGTTGTTAACTGCACGTGTTGTGTACAAAGCATTTAACTTTTCCATTCAAAGGAATATGATATCTTTCTATATATACCTAAATATTTGTATATGTATAGGCGGAGTCTATGCTCTGCTTTGCGATTTCTCATCTATTGGGTGATAGTATATGCAGACTTCAGCTGGTTATCTTATGAAGGAGTAGTAAAAAATAGAACGATGAGTTTTAATCTGAATACCCGACGTTTCTTTCATACAACCGAAGAACCCTAATCTGTCCTCCAATACAGGCGGCACCCTCTGGTCCTGCAGAGCTGAGGCAACCGCCGCAGGCTTCTAACGAGGAACCAACACCCGCTAATCGGCTCAGTTCACGATCCAGCCAATATGTAAGTTTGAATGAACTGAACTCGGCTTTGTTTGCGAACAGAATACATAATTCGATATGTTCTCCATTTGAGCTTAGTTTAGTTGTGTGGGGAAGTCTCTAGCCAGGTAGCACGCGTGCTGGGATATCTGAGTCAGAGTTTCTGTTGCGTGCATCTACCTTTGCTTTGCCTGTGCTGAGCTACGTGTAAAGGAACTCTTTTCTTGTTCTTCTTCCCCACATTCCGACTATAAGCATGAACCTTTCCATGTCAATTTTCGCTGTTTATAGCATTTATGTTTAGCGTCGCATTGGATCGAGACTTTTGGCTACAGATGCACCGTGGTACATGCAATAGTAAACTCTCGGATATACCTCACCCTCCTCTGCACTGTACGGTGTTCCTGAGATAGATATCCAGCGAATGTTCACATTGTATCTATACTACGGCCCACGATAGTAAGTCCGTATAGTCACGGTGGTTTTTGTTGCCTATTGGGAAGCCAGTTTGCATCTGCTGTGCACGCGTCGTAGAGGGTTTTCGTATTCATACACTTGTATATGCTTGCCAGATCTCCCTCCGTTCCTCACCCGTTGTTAGTCTTATCATTGCTTCAGCATATCCTGGACACAAACAACGCCCTTTTAAGGACACACTATATATATCGTAGTAGTAACCATAGTCATATAACAACAAAACAACATAATAATCACTAAATATATAACTCAGCTACATGTACGTAAATTGTCGACTAACGCGTATATACACGTATGTATGATCTGTATACAGATCCCTGCGGAAGCCTTCCTGCCACTGTCGCTGGCTGTCCAGCGCGCAGCTGTTGTGGCCACGCCCCTGTCTGCGTCTGTATCGACCACTTCGCTTGATTCTGTATCCTCCAATTCCGGTTCCGAGGACTCTCTCAGCGGGAGTGACTACGACGAGAATGTATGTGTGAACACAGCACACGCACGTGTGTGTGTGTGGACATGTGTAGATATACACGTGCTCTGGTGGGTCTAGTCACACATTGTTACATATATGCGAGTTGCGAAAGCGCACTTAGGTACTACAGGGACAGTGTCGCGTCAAACTTTAGTATGGGAGCTCTAGTGATATTCATTATAGGACTTGTTTCGGGATTTGTCATGTCAGTCGCGGTTGCCACGGAATGGTAGGCTCGTAAACGGGTCACAATAGGCCCATTTTTACATTCAGGTGCGCCGATTCTAGTTTAGGTGCGCGGTAAAAGTTGTCGTGGGTGTGGATTGAGAGTTATAGGTGAAACGGTAGTTGTGGAGCAGACCGGGAAGTTCTACCTAGTCACATCAGGGCCATAGGATGGGGTGACATGGAATACTAATTGATAGCAATAGATTAATACTAGATTATTACCCTATTAATAGATGCGTGCTAGATTAGTACCTTATTAATTGATAACGATAGAATAATACTAAATTAATACCCTATCAATAGATTCGTACTAAATATCTTATTAGTTGATAACAACAGAATATTACTAGATTAATACCCTATGAATAGATTAGTACTAGATTGATACCTATTATTTGATAAGATAGATTAATACTAGATCAGTACTATTTTATTAGATTCGTACTAGATTAATGCCTTATTAATTGATAACAATATATTAATACTAGTTTAAAACAACATTTATAAATTAGCACTAGATTAATTACCTTATTATCCGATTAATACTTCCACTTGTTCGTTTCACCCCATTCGGGATTGTGTGTTGTGCCATGGACCTTTCGCTCTACAGGATCAAAGTTGTGCATCTCTGCAGTCCAAGGTAAGCATTGACAGTGCACACACCACAAGAACCAGCGCAAGAAATACCCCGGAACGGAGAGGAAGAAGTCCCAAAAGAGAGAGAGCCTCTGTTTCAGACAAACATACTACCGAACTGTCCGCTGGCAGCGTCAAGGAGGATGCGGCACTTACCATACGCCGACACAAAACCATCGTGGACGCGGAGACGGTGCACAAAG